TGAGGCAGTAGGATTGCCCAATCTTCCTTCTGAGGAGTGGCTGGTGGGTTTGAACCTCCAGCCTTCTGGTTAGCAGTCAAGTGCTTTAGCCACTATGCTAAATGTGTTAACTCCCAGGAAATCACAAAACATTGTAAAATATTTGAACGATTATGACTTTTAAGTCATGAAGAAACACATTTTCAGTTCATAAGACAAACAATTCAGTACTTTCTGCAACCAACATTTATATATCTAACTTTACTTGTATTGCAGTAGCTAACTTTTATTAACATATATCAAGGAATAAAACAAAACTTCTGACTTCAAGGTGTTTAGTGTTCACATCGTGCACAAAATTATAAGTATTGAGACCTTACAAGGAAAGATCCAGTGTCTAAGCAAGGCTGAGATCTTCATTATCAGTTTTCACTGAATAGTGAACTCTACACTGCTTAATGTTCAACAATGGTGTTATTAGAAGGTGAATTTTTAAATGGCTCTTGTTAAGGATATGAGGATAAAGAGTCTAAGAATTATCGTGTGTGCATTGATTGCAATATGTGAAATCTCAATTCAAATATGGCTAGGATAACTCATAATCAACCACACACCTACTCTTTCTCAAGTGTTTATCATGACTAGGCTCCTTGGGTTTGAGCCTAACCTGTGTGTTTTGGTTTCATTCTTTCCAGAGAGAGCCCTATGGAGAGAGGAGATGGACACCCACAACCTAACCACCATCTCAGAGTTCCTCCTCACAGGGTTCTCTGACCTCCCAGAAGTGCGCTACCCACTCTTTGTGGTCTTTGCTGTCATCTATCAGGTCACATTGATGGGAAATGGGGCCATTCTCTTTGTCATTGGGTCTGAAAAAAAGCTCCACACACCGATGTATTATTTTTTGGCAAATTTGGCCCTCTTAGATATTTTCTGTCCATCAACTACTGTTCCCAAGTTACTCAAGAACCTCTTAACCAAGGAACAAAGCATTTCTTTTGTTGGATGTGCTTTGCAGCTCTTTCTACTGGTGGCCCTCTTAGGGACTGAAGTCTTCCTTCTTGCTGTCATGTCTTATGACAGGTATGTGGCCATATGTTTTCCCCTCCGTTACAACCTCATCATGACTAAAGGACTTTGTGTCCAGCTCACCACCAGTACTTGGGCAGCAGGGTTTCTCCACTCTGCACTACACACAGTTTTCACCTTCCGCCTGTCCTTCTGTAAGTCTAATCGAGTCAACCAGTATTACTGTGACATCCCTCCAGTGGTGGCCCTCTCCTGCTCTTCCACATACGTGGCACAAATGCTTATCTTAGTAGTAGGAGGTATCTTTGCAGTCAGCACCTTCCTGATCACTGGTATCTCTTATATCTACATCATATTCACCATCCTGAAGATTAGGTCAGCAGAAGGGAAGAACAAAGCCTTCTCCACATGTGCTTCCCACCTCCTGGTGGTTTGTTTGTTCTATGGTACAGTGTTATCAAACTATGTCCGCCCATCCTCCA